TACTAATACCACTTAAAGCACTATTTGACCATACCACCATTTATCTGAACCATAGCAATTCCCAAATTAACTAAATGTCAATTCACTTCAAATAGCATTCATTTAAAACTCGTAGCAAATCAAACCAAAACAAACCAAACTAACCCAAATCAATCCTTACGTCCCATCAAAGGGAGCAACTACAAGGGTTCATCTCCCCTACGCGGCTTAATCCAATTTACCAATTTTCCACTCTCACAATTCAAACATTGACATACTAACCAACACCAATTGTCCCTATCTAGGGTTCAGCACACACCCTTCACATCTCACAATTCATATTCATCGTTACCACTTTTCATTCACATGCAAACTAGACCAAGAAATTAGTGATGTTCTTCCCTCTTAACCCGAGGAATTTCCAGCCACGTGAAACAAGCCTCATCCAAGCCTCGCTATTACATATGGGGTACTCCACACTCACAAAACCCTTCCAAGACACATCTGAAACATGGTACTCTACTCATACCTGAGCATTCCAAAGTGACTATTTGTCACCCAAACTCCCATATTAACCAATTGGGTTAACCATTCAATAAAACTTAAATTTGACGCTCAAACATCCATAGGTTGCCCTAAATCAAATACTCCGAGATGGAGTTCCACACACCATTCCCCATACTTCTAGAATTTCACCATACTCCTCAAGTACACATTGCACTAGTATTATTCCGACAATCCCATCACTCTTGTGCCAATATGGCAACACCAACTCCAAATCACGCTAAACATTCATCACCCATACGACACCATTTACAAAGATTACAATCCACATTCCTTCTCAAGAACCACTCCTAGCATTTAATTATCAAGTTTCCTTCAGACTCATGGACCCTATACAAGCCTTAATCATGTCACTCAATACTTAAATACCACAAACCCCTTCTCACCCTCATCATTAAGAAACACAATTCTCCCACTCCCTTTCTAAACCTTTCACCGTATTCTACATAACTCAAACTAACCTCACACCATCCTAAGATTTCACCTCATCTCAACTATACTCCCTTACAACTCTTATTATCTCAATAACATCTAACATCAATCGACCGAACTCTAACCCGAGACACCTAATCCTCTTGCCAAAACAAGAAACCAACCTAACATATAATCACACAGCGCATAAACAAATTTTAAGCAACAAAGCACATAACTGAGTCAAGTCTACAAGGACAACCACTTGTTCCGGAACTTCCAAGGGACTCCCACTGGAAACCACATTAATCAGACGCGTTTCCAAAGAGATCTCAAAGCAAGTTAGTCGGCCACAAGCACTATCCAAGGAGTTCAACCCATGCTCACACAATGCAACACATAATGTCCTACACCTCCTATTTCCTATATGCAAACATCATAACCAAGAGAAGCCAACCTATTGTGGTAAAAACCACTTCCCACGAGCTCCATGTTTTCAAACCCGGCTAGCTTTGATACCAAGTTGTCATGCCCCGAATTTTAATTACTCAAAATATTACCAAGAGCCTGAAATTTAGGTCCATTTTTTTTTTTAAAGATCAATTACCGTTGAGTAATAGAAACATAATAGTACATGACTCCCTCATGATGAATACAACAATAATAATAATAATACATGCCAAGCTCCCACAACGGAGTTACAAATAAATAATTACAAACATCAAAACACAAAAAGATTGCACACAAGATCTACATGAACTTCCTAATCCTTCAGCCAATCAATCCAAATTCTCTTCCTGTAAAAAAATGAAACAAGGGGTGAGCACAATTGCTCAGTAAGAATCTCACAGTTCTAAAACAATAACCATTCTATAGATAGAAATGATCATGCATGCAGGGTGATACCATATAGTAAAGTAACATTTTGTAATTTCAAAATATCAAACGTAAAGTACCTTTTTCTCAAAATTTATTTGAACATTTAAGGAAAAACTTTAACCATCAAAAACCATCCTTTTTATCAAAAAACCAAAAATCCTTTTTAGAAACAAACATGTTTAAGGAACCACGTCATTTTATATTTATTAAACCATTCTAAAATATTCCTTATTAAATTTCCATCTTAACATTCCTCCTTTTTATTCCCATTCTCCCTTTTTACTAGTTACATTTATTATAACTCCATACCTCACGTTCATGTTCCCGTATTACTCAAAACAACCCTCACACACTCCATTCCCACCTGCTAATCCTTTATTACTATAACTCTTTAACGTAGAAATCCAAGAACAATTACATCACATCCATATTTGCATTACCAACTATAATTCAACATATCACAACTAAATCATATCCACATTTGCATTACTAACTATAATTCAACATATCACAACTACGTCATATCCGCATGTGTGTTATCAATCATAATTCAACATATCCCTAGGATAATAAATTCTTTTAATTCAATTTCTCAATTAATCATAAAGCAAAACTCTTAAGTTTTCCTTATAGATACAAATAACCTGGTGAGTTCTTTGTCACCAATCCCTTATCCAATTACCATTTCATTATACATTCGTTTCAAATAATTTCCATAAGCATTTCCGTTCCATATCAATTTACACATCAAATGGTAATTTCACAAGTTCATCACAAGTCACATATATCATCACCGACCTCAACACACATCATAACGCATTCCACCTTTTGCTGACTTAATACGGTAGGATAGCGGGCACCCAATTCATATGACATTCCATATTTTGCCGGCTATTATACGGCGGGAAGTGAACTCCCAAAAATCATTTTCTCAAAAACCATATCTTTTTCCGAAAACCATTTTCAACTTTTTTAAAAACCATCCCCCACATTTGTCAGCTATTATACAGCAAGACGTGGGCACCCAAAACATTTTCGAAAACCATCCGTTTTTTCACTTTTGCTGGCTACAATACAGCAGGACTGTGTGGACACCCAAAAACATTTTTCCCACATTCGTGCACAATAAGCCTAGACAGGGCAATTGGGCACCTTGAATTTAAACCGCCCCCACATTTATCGGCTATTATACGGACGGTTGTAGGCATCGAAAAACCATTTTTTTCAATTTTTAAAACAATCCCCCACATTTACCAACTATCATACGGACGGTCGTGGGCACTGAAAACCATTTTTCAACTCCCTCGCGCAGGTACCAACCACAACACAACCCAACACAACTCAACTCAACCCAACACAACTCAATTCCACACAACACAATTCAACCAACTCAACACAACATAATCCAATACAATTCACATAACACACAACAAGATTCAACACAACCATTTCAACACAAAGCTCATAACATCCATACCATTAGTAATTTCCAGTCCCCCACGTTTGGTTCACATTGTAACATAATTTAAGACATCAACATTTTGAGTTCAATCGCAACTTTTACATAAATTTCTCAAATTCTCTAAAATTTCAATTAAACTTGTACATGTGTAATTTAACACCTCAATTTCATGATTCCACTATCAATTGAAACAAAACCATTAACCATCTTCATAAGCCAAACTAGGGTTTTTAAGAGAAATTAAAGATTTTCACAAAACACATTTTATTCCAACCCTTCTATTACTTTTACGCCCAAACTCATGACCCAAGATCATAACCCAACAAACAAACCCAACTCTCTTCAAACCCTAACCCCCAATCTCGTGATTTATCACAATATGCATAAAAATATAAAATTTTGTATGTATATAAAGAAAATACCACAAATCTATCCATAAACGAGGGTATTGAAATAGAACTAGAAACCCCTACCTCTTGAAGCCAAGAGATGCCGACCCAAACATCAATGGCGACGAAACCATGAACTCTTTGGACCAAAAGGATGCCCTTGACGAGATCTACACTTTTTCTCAAAGGATCATGGTGAAAAGATCACTATAGGTGAGTAGATCTAGGGATCTTAGTGCCAAAAGCTTGCTTTTAGAGAAAGAGAAGAGAACTCACGGTTTGAGAGAGAGGAAAGAGGAGAAAAAGTCAAATGAAATATGTTTGGAGCCTATTTATAGTAGCAAGGTAATAACAGAATAATAGCCCCAAAGTCAAATGAATGGAACAAGGCAAAATTCCCAAAAAGTAGGGCCCAAACCAGCCCAAAAATCTTGAAAAAAACACATAGGGGTCGACCCTTTGGGCAGGGGGGGTCAACCCTTTATGTAGAAAAGGTAATCTGGTACAAGCAAGGGGGTCAATCCTTAGACAGGAGGGGGTTGACCCTATTTTCCAGCAACTAACACACAGATTCTTCCATATAAGAGGGTCGACCCTTAGATAGGAGGGGGTCGACCCTATTTTCCAGCAACTATACTAGAAACTTCACCAACAGGTAAGCGTTGACCCTTAGGAAGGCCGGTGTCGACCCTAGAATAGAATTTCTAAGTTCCCAAGGAACTTTTTGACAAGAACAAGCGTGCGCAAACAAACAAACCCAACGAGCTTAAATTGGATCATACTCCTCCGAAACCAACAGTCAACAACTCCAAAGACTCCCAAAAAGAAAATAAGGGAATTAAATACACTCTCCAAGGATTAAAGAATGTGGGTGTTACAATATGTGTGTAGGTGAGCAAAGAGATGTCCAAACCTAGCCTCAGTGAAGAATATAAGAGGAAGTCGATTTTTGTGGAGTCAGCCTGAATGTCCCACACATAAGACGTTGTTTTTGTTATTTTGTTTACCACTTTTTGCTATCTTGGTGAATATGATGGATCACATATGTACATATACTTTTGTTTGGCTGACTAGCTATTTGAAGTTCCTGGATGTATAAGATGTTAATTCTGCATATATGTGTGAGTTATTATGAAATACTTTTGTGATAATTTTACTATGCCATGTAAGCACAGCTCATTGGACAAAATATTTAAGTCTGCTTCCGTTCGGCCCCTTTATTTCTACTGAAACATGTTTAATCATGTTTGAGGCCACATGTAATCCCATGATTACTGGCAGGTTTTGACCTTAATCCATAGGAGCGGGTTCGGGTCATGACAGGTTTGGTTCGGATTTGTGGTCTTCTTTAATTCTATTTCGAAGATAATTTGTTCGTCTATTTGGTGAGGTCTTTCCTCTATTTATTTGTAATTATTTAGAATTCACCTAAAGGTGTTTTGTGAGACCATTTATATCTCATTTATAATCGTTTGAAAACTTGTGGTTGATAGTGGAATTGGATTAGGGTCTAGTAGATGTACACATTGAGGAAACCATATAAAAATTCTTATGTCATTGTTGATTTAATTTTTTTGCAATATTTTATTTCTTTTGATTGATTTACTTGTGGAAAATCATCTATTTTCCCTAATAGTTCCCACTACTAATCTTCTGGATAAGTTTGTGAAGGCTCTTGAGAAGAAATTGATTGGGGTTTTGAATACTATGAGATATAATGGGAAACCCAGATTGGGGACTGTGAAGGAGGTTTTGAGAGTTACTATTTATGTGAATAAGCATTTGTGTGATGTGAGCATTTCATCCATTGTCATTAATAGTAGTGCAGATGTTGTGACTAATCTAGATGTGAGTAGAGAATTGTCTGAGCAAGCCAAGAGTAAAGACAAGACTTTGAAGATCTATGATGGAATGGTGCATTCTTTGTTGTCTGGAAAGCCTAATGAAAATGTTGAGATTGTTCGGTGTGATATATTGTTATGGTTGAATGATCGATGCAAATAAATGATCAATGTGAATGAATGATTGGTTTGGCATTCGGGTTCTGTGTTTTGGATTTGAAATGTTTGAAGAACCATATATGAATTGAAATAAATTGATGTATAGTTTCATCAAAGGTATGTTCTTGATTCGCATACATAGTTGACATTGTGGATAACGTGTTTGATAGAGGGTGAGTTTGCATCTTTATTTTGAAATTTAGGGTCAAAGTGTAATTTCTTTTTTTAAAAAACCTTTTCTATTTAAATGTGATGATAGGGGGTAAATTAATATGATTTCAAAAATTTTAAGGGTAAAATTGAAATTATTCAAAATTTGATGGGGTAATTGATCATTGAGACAAAGTATAAGGGGAAAAATGCAAAATTTGATGGGGTAATTGATCATTGAGACAAAGTATAAGGGGAAAAATGAAATTTGCTATTTTAGTAACTCAATATCATAAAAAAAATATAATCTTAATATTTACGAAACTTTTATCAATTAATAAAAATAATTTTTTTAATTACTCACAAAATTAAACATCAAGAGAAAAAATATATAGAAGATATGAATTGATTCGTATATTTTAGTGGTACAAAAAATTTAAATTTTAAAATTGATTAGTTAAGTTTTTTTTTTCCAAATTTTGAAATTTAAATTTTTAAATAGATTAATTAACTTTCCTTTTGAAATGTGTAAATTAAGGCATAATAATTTTCTTTTCTTTTCTTTTTAATAAAAATGATTCGATAAAATTAGCCAATAGAAATTTTTTTAATTATTTAAAATATAAGAATTCTAGAAAAATAATATGAGGGTTTTAAGTTTCACAGGTCTCTTCTCATTAGAAACCTTTTCCTTGACATGTAGTATAGATTCAAAAATTGATTTACTTTCTAAATTGAAGTGATTTGATGATGATAACCATATAAACCAAATAATTAATTATTAATTTGATTTAAACAATAATGACCAATGATTGAATGACATGTGTATTTATGTATTTTATAAATTCAAAAAATCAAAAAATTTGTGTTGAATGTTTTAAGCTCAAAGACCTCACAATGTTTTTGTTTATATTATATATATCTATCTATACTATTATATATGTGAGCACATGACTTGGTGTCTAATAGTGTGATAGCTTTTCTTTCTACCATGTGACAAATTTTTCTATCCTAATATAAAAAAATATTATTCAAAGACGTGAGTAAGATTTAAACCCAAAACCTTGAGTTTCATTAAAAACATTTTTGCCATGTACCATTTAGACAATCTATATAATAAAGCAGAACGGATTTTGAAAATATGTTAGACACAATTGTCCTACTAGGACATTTCAATGGTTATGATTCATTTGTCTATTTAGATAGATGGCTGAGATGACCCCCCTTAATTTGTTTCTAATTTGTTTCCCGCCCAAACACACTCTACTCTCTCTCTCTCTCCCACGTTTCCTCCCCCTTCCATCTTTATCTCTCTCTCTCTCCGTTTCTGTTGCATGTCTCCTCCCATTTCATCCTTATCTCTATCTCCCTCTTCGTTCCTCTTCTTTATCTCTCCCTTCTCTCCGACTGCAGAAAATTATTTCAGTTTTAGATTTTGCCTCTGTTAAATATATTTTTATAACTGCATTTTAATCTTAATATTATTTACACCGTGCCTTTAGGCACGGGCATACGCTAGTATGGATATATATTATGAACCAAAACCCTCTTCTCAAATTTATTCCTTCATACACACACGTGCATTATTAAGAAAAATACTTTATTTAAGAATCTTATTAAATTGTTGAATACTTTCAACACACCTTACAATTAGCGAAAAGTACACTTCTAAAAAAAATAAAAAATACAAATCACATTATTGATTAAAACAACAGAAAACATATTTTAAATTTAACTGCACCTTACCAAATCGATCTGTGATCAAAACAATAATGCTAAGAAGAGATAGTAATCTTAGCATTATTGGCTGCAAAATCCTCTCTTCCCAAATCACTGTCAATGGCTTTTCATGAATAAAGTTGAAATTAGTGAGGATAATAAGATCGGATAGTGTAATATGTTTGCAGGGCAGTGAAGCTGAGAAGCACAATTGCAACAATGACAGATATGGTAGTCCATGGATTGGTGAAATAATCACACGGCAATGCTATCATATATTCACACCACTTCACCTTCATTATGGCTCTAAGTCTGTGCCAGTCCAACCAAGACCTAGAGTACTTGTTAACATCGGTACACAAATCAGAAAAACAAAAGTCCTTCAAAACAACTCTGCCGCACATAGATTTGAAGAGAATCGAAACATCTTCATGACTGCGACTCCCACCCCCACTCAAATCATATCCCATGATCTTTCTGTGATGAAGAATTTCAGCATCGTGTGAGGAATGAAGGAGACTCCTCATAAGGAAGATATAGGATGCAATGCAATGTGAGGTGTCAATGCTGTATTGCTCAAAAGCAATCCGATTTCGGAAGATTGATTCTGTAGCTTCGCGTATCTCTAATAGTGGCATTTTAACAACTTCAGTTGTGAACTCTATGTCTAGGAAATTTTCTTCTGGGGCAGTGTCAGTTTTGCCTTGAAATTGAATTACTGTCTTCAAAAGTTATGTGGCGCAATTTTCGAATCCATTTATTAGCAAGCATTGACAATCATCATCATCATCATGGCGGGTTTTGCAAGATATGGGGAGGTGAGATTTGTGCAAAATTTGACGCCTTTTGAGAGATGTGTGCAGGTAAAAATTGTGCAAGATATCAAGTAAATGCTTACCAGAGAGTTTCGAGGATTTACTTTGAATTGCTTTGTTGCTCAAACCCAAAGCCGATTTGAAAAAGAGTAGTGCTAAAGTGGCCACATTATGCTCAATAAATGAGGATCGTAGTGGTTGTGGCACGTTGTCTCTTCTAATGCCGAACAAAGTCCCCAGAATAGAAAATGGAATCTGGTTCTCAAGTAATGCCAAATCATGTTGAAGAGTTGCAATAGTCCGAGCATTATTGATAAGGGGGTCCTCAACGTTGTCCTCCTCATGGTTCTCAATATCTGAATATCTCAAAAGCAGTTCGAGTAAGAAACAACCATCAACTAGCAATATTTCAGCTAACTTGTACTCATCAAAGTTTATTTTTTCTGAATAGCATCTGCGAGCTTCTTCTTCAAATTTTAGCATGGTAGTGGAGGGTAGATTTAGGTTTTTCATCATCAGGTGCTTCAGATATTCTCATAAAAAGATGTAGCATGTATCGCCATATGTGCTCTTCAAAAGCTTGCACCGCTTTGTTCTTATGATGAAAAGGTCCAATGGACACAATACTAGGTGTATAGGCATCTTCCTTGAGTTTTAAAAGTTTGTTCGGAACTTTATATATACTCAACTTCGGCGACCTTTTCATTGTAGCTAGCGTATTGTTAATCGAAATTATCCAATTCTCTTTCTTTTTGGCTTTTACCATCTCGTTGGCCTGGTTATCATTCGACATCGTGCAGAGTAGTACTTCATATTCAAAACCAAAAGAACAAGAAATTATCTCTTCTTCAGGGGTTGCTGTTGCTTTAAGCATGGACGATCGTGGGTGAAGGCCGATGTTGCGCAAGCATGGAGGTCAAGGAAGTAGGAATCAAGAATTGGAAAATGAGGTATACACGATATTTGTGGATGACCTACTCGAATCCATGGATCCAAAAGGGTTATATAAAGTTTTTACAAACTTTGGAGTTGTAAAGGATGTGTTTATACCCAACAAGAGAAGAAAGATGACTCGTTCACGGTTTGGCTTTGTACGATATGCATGTTCAGTGGCAGCAAATGTGGCAGTTCAAAAAGCACATGGAATGTGGTGTGACAACAGGGCGTTGAAAGTAAAAATAGCAGACTTTGTACAAGGGAAGGGGAATAAACAGAGGCCCTTAACTGCACCAGTTGGAAGAAGGCATATTGGTGGTTCCAGCAGAGTCCCAAATATGGTCCAAGGGAGAAAGTCTTATGCACAAGCATTAAGAGGAGAAAGGTTAGCGCACAATGCTAGTATGAATATAAATGTTTCGGAGGAAGGAAATGGCTGGCTTTACGACAGTGTGATTGTGAGACTCAAGCCTCTAAACTGTGTGACTGCGTTTAAAGAGGAATTGAAGAACAGAGGAATGGAAGACATCCAGATTCGAGAGGGAGGTGGCAGAGACATAGTGCTGACTTTTGAATCAGTAGATACCATGAAAGAGAAGATCAAACTAATGGAGGGGTGGATCTCCGAATGGAGTGAGTCAAGTAAGGAGTGGTCACCGGGGATGAGATTTGAACAGGAAAGGCTTGCTTAGCTTACTTGTTATGGTGTGCCATTAAACCTATGGAGCAGCAAAATCTTCAGTAGCATTAGAAGGTTGTGGGGGGAAGTCGTAGGCATCGATGATGACACAGCCAGAATGAATTCTTTCCACAATGGGAAGGTAAGGATTGCCACAAAATGTATGGAGTCCATAAATACAATAATCACACTTAGCTGCAGGGGGATAACCTACCCAGTCAAAGTGTGTGAAGAACAAGTGGTTATTTCGAAGTTAGTGTACTAGTAGTGTAAATGTTACACTGAGCAGAATGAAAATGAAAATCAAACTTTCAATGGCGATGATCAAGCGCAGAGATTTGAAGTGGGGAGCAAGAAGGTTGATGATGAAGCTGATGTGGAGGGCCATGTTGGAGGTGAGTTGGCCATAGATGGTGCTGAGGTGGTAGGAGGGATGAGGGTAAGAAATGATGACTATATTGATTGTGATGGACATGTTAGGTAGCTAAGCATGTCTAGAGTGGAAGAGTCTGTCATGAACATAGGGCAGTCAGTCGGTGTGCACCTGCAAAATGGAGTCAGTGGGGGAGCGTGCGGGGGAAAGATAATCAAATCAGTGCTAAAACCTATACAGATTCAAAATGAAAGTAACCAGATAGTTGAGAATGGAGTGGTTACTCTAGGTTTCATGAGGAGTTTAAGTGGGCCTGAGAAAATTGGGCATGGGCTCAACATTGAGGCAGTGTTAAGTAAGGCCAATGTAATAGAGAATGACAAGATTCTGGGCGATGGTTCATCTGAGGTTAGTGAATCAGAGGACCTGACTTCAAAGGATAGTCGTGATCTTCACAGTGGGAGGACAACAGCCCACGCAAGAGTTACAGAGGTGAATACCTATGTGCAAAAAAGCAAGTCTGCTATGGTAGCTCAAAAAAGGAAAACAAGTAAGCGGGAGAAAGCCAAAGGGCTTGCAAAATTTCAGGGGAAGGGAAAAGGAATTTCGCAAATTGGGGTTGGAACTTCTATGAATTTCAAAAAAGGTGTTATTTTTAGATTGGCAGCTGCAGCACTTTCTGTCTTTGGCAAGCAAATCTGGTAGTGGTCAACTCTTACTTAATGAGGCAGAAGCATCTCACCAAATTGGTCAAATACTTGGGATGAATTGTAAAGGTAATGAGGAGGTAGTGTTAAGCAAATTGATGGAGCTAGAAGCAAAAGACAAGGAAGTGCTGGGTCTAAGGGGCAATAAGGCAGCTTAATATGCCCATCCAAGTGATTTGGTGAGTGAATTTTGTGTCAATTAAGGTTTTATCCTGGAATATCAGAGGCTTAGGAAAGTCTATAAAAAGAAGAAAACTCAAAAAATTACTTTATGAGAGGAAGGTGGATATGGCATTAATTCAAGAAACAAAGAGATCCAGTTTTAATGAAAATTTTGTCCGTTCATGTTGGCTTGGTGATCAGATGGAATTTATGGCAGTAGATTCAGTGGAAGCAGCTGGTGGTCTACTTTGCATCTGGAATCCAACAGTATTCCAACTATTGACCTGCTGCAGTAATAGGAATTTCATCATCCTCTCAAGTACTCTTTATTGTAGTTTTGACTGTGTTATTGTCAATTTCTACAGTCCAAATGATGGTGCAAGTCGTAGAAGGGTTTGGGAAACATTAAAGAATTTAAAGCAAATCTATGAAAATCCTTGGTGCTTGGGGGGTGATTTCAATGAAGTCAGGTCTATCTGAGAGGTTGGATTGCTCTCAAAGAAGTAGAGGTTTGAATGACTTTAATGAACTAATTGATGAACTGGAAGTGTGTGACATCCAAATGTTGGGAAGAAAATTTACTTGGTGTAACTCATAAGAAGGAGTCAAGTGGAGTAGGTTAGATAGGTTCTTACTCAGTCCAGAATGGATGCAGAAATTCAATTTCAAACTGTGGCATTTACCAAGAAGGTTCTCAGATCATTGCCCTATACTTCTCATGAAAGATGAGAGGGATTGGGGTCCCAAGCCATTTAGATTTCTAAATGCCTGGACATTACATCCGAATTTCAAATCTTTTGTGAAATCAATATGGGCTGAAACTAATGTTGATGGTTGGGCTAGCTTTAAGTGTCTAAGGAAACTGAAAATTCTTAGATTAGCATTAAAAAAATGGAATCTTGAAATTTTGGTTCTTGGTATTAATAGCTCATTTGTAGCTTTGTTTCCAAAGAATGATAATCCTTCTAGTCTCAGAGAATACAGGCCTATTAGTCTTATAGGTTCACTGTACAAAGTGCTTTCAAAAGTTTTATCTAGTAGGATTAAATCAGTCATACCCAGGATTATTAGTGAATCTCAATCAGCTTTCATAAGGTGTAGAAGTATTTTGGATGGTGTTTTGGTTGCCAACGAGATTGTTGATGAGTGGAAGAATAAGCAAAAGAAAGGTATTGTTTTAAAACTTGATTTTGAAAAAGCATACAATTCAATTTATTGGGAGTTTCTCTTCTCTACGCTCTCAAATTTTGGGTTTGGCTCAAAATGGATCGACTGGATGAAAGAATGTGTTACAACAGCCAGAATCTCCCTCTTGGTGAATGGATCACCTACACCTGAATTCAGTCCTCAAAGGGGCCTTAGACAAGGTGACCCATTATCACCTTTTCTTTTTAATATAGTGGCTGAGGGTCTAAACATTCTGCTGAACAGAGCTATCCAGATAAGGTTGATTATGGGTGCAATAGTTGGTACAAATAATATTATCATTACTCACTTACAGTTCGCAGATGACACCATATTGTTTTCTGAGGCAAGAAGAGAGGAGGTGATCAATATCAAAAGGATATTGGGGTGTTTTGAAATATTATCCGGGTTGAAGATTAACTATCACAAAAGTGTGATTTGTGGAGTTGGAATTAATGAAGAACTCATCAAAGATTTCGCGGCTATCTTGTATTGTCAGCACCATAGTTTACCAATGAAATATTTGGGTAAGCCCTTGGGAGCTAATCCAAGGAGGAAAAGGACTTGGCAACCTGTTATCGACAAATTCAAATTGAAGTTGGCTTCTTGCAAAAGAAGATTTTTATCCTTTGCTGGTAGGTTGTCAATGATCAAGTATGTGCTCTCATCCTTACTAGTTTTCTACTTATCCCTATTTAAAATGCCTGTAGGGATTGCAAAGGAGATTGACAAAATACAATCTAGATTCCTTTGGGGAGGTGATGAAATACGAAGGAAAATTCATTTGGTTAAATAGGGGGAAATTGCTCAAAGTAAATGTAATGGGGGTCTAGGCATTAGAAAGGTGAAACTCATGAATGAGTGCCTCCTTTTGAAGTAGTGGTGGAGATTTGGGAGTGAAAATGGAAATCTCTTGAAACAAGTAATCTGCAGCAAGTACCCACAGAATGGAGGGAGTTGGTGGCCTGCCCCTGTTGAAAATACAAGGGTATCCATGGTTTGGAGAGATATACTGGAATTCGATGGAAATAGTCGTGAGCTACTGGGGTTTTTTAAGGTCAATGCAAAGCTTATCCTTGGCGATGGGAGGTATTCAAAATTCTAGTTTGACAATTGGGTTGATGTTGGGAGCTTAAAAGATGCATTCCCTATATTATTTTCTGTGTCTCTTGATCAATGTGAATCAGTGGTAGTGGTCAATAGCAGGAGAAATGAGAATGAAGAGTGGGATTTGGCTTTTAGATGAACCTTGTTTCAGTGGGAACTTGATGAGCTGAGGAGGTTGAAGGTGATGTTACAATATGCTCCTATCCTCATGGAAGGAGTGCTGGATGGATTGAGATGGAATGCAGGTAAGTCAGGAGTGTTTGCTATAGCATCTGCTTACAAGTGAAATGAAGTTTCATCTGGTGTTTCTGCAAAATTAGGGGCTTTCTTTTGGAAGAATGTGGCTCCACCGAAGGTGCAATTT